TTTTGAGGGCGGTCAGATTGTCTGAAAAAATGCAGATTGAGAATGCCTTGAAGAGGATTATCGGACATCGGAAAACTAGCTTCTAACAGAAACCAAGTGGTTTTCGATGGAGTCCACATAAGTGCTCCTTAATAATGACCGTGTTGGGACCAATGCCATTCCAGGAAGTGCACGACATTTTACTTGGAAGTACCACAAAATTTGAAATACACTCTGGAACATCTACTCCCGGTAGGTAGCATGGGGGGTGGGGTCGTACTAAATAAGGAAATTGCCATTTCTCCTATCCAGATGCTGTATCCTCTCCTAGACGAAGGTCGAATATTAGGACCATCGGGTATGAATCAAGATCAATCACTGCTTTATGCTTTTAGCCCCAGGATTGTCCTAAATGAGTGATTCCACTCACTCGTTCTCAGCGTCATCTTTTCCCTTTCTCTCGGATTTTCTCTTGCTCGATTTCTCTGATTTTCTCTTGCTTCTCCTACTCGTATCGTCGCTTCGTTTTTTCGATCGCTCGCTTGTATCGTCGCCTCTGCTCCTTCGTCTTTTCGAGTGGGACTTGGAACTTCCCTTGCTGCTGCGAGTTCTCTTAGAGCTCTTTTTCTTCCTTTCGTGTTTTCTCTGATTTTTCTCCTTCATCGGCTTCCGAACTGAATTACCGTATTAATCGATTGAGCCTATTAACTTTGCAGGCGTTCACTTACAATGATTTCGAGAACGCTTTCTTAATTTTGCCTTTTAGCGCCTTTGCCTTGTCTCGATGTCGACGTCTCTTTGACGATCTGCTGCTACGCCTGTGACTCTGGAAATGCTACCTTAGAGCGCGGTCATACTTCGCGATACGATCGCTTGAGATCGCGCCACCGAGAGTTTAGATAGTACATTTAAGAACGTACGGATCGCCTGCTTTTTGACTTTGGATCCGTTTCTCTTTCGGCTCTTCAAGATCTGAATATACAACTCATAATGACTCAGTCAGTCAAGGAAGGGGAGCAGGGTCACTAGTGGTGGTTTTGGTGTGGAGCTGACCTCTTTCCCACTAGTCGTTGCTGCTTTGGACGTACAGAGTGGTGGAAAAGTTTTGAAGCCGAGCCAAAACCCTCGCCGCCATTGATACGCCCCGACTGATTTAGGTGACAACGACTGTGACAGAACCACCAGACTGGGTGCCTTCGAATCCCATTGAGCAAAAACTTCGCAAGCTCCCAGGAAACCCTATACAATCGTGCCCTTTTAGAAATGGTAAGCCGTCACAATAGTAAGCGCGATGCTGCGGCTATTCTATTGGCTCAGCCTCTTGGCCCCTAGGATCCTTAACTCCGCGTTGGAACTCCACATTCAGGGTACAAAATCGTTGTGTGGAACACATGGGGGGTCACTTTGCGCTGGGGGAGGTGGGGGGGCGCGGGAGGGGCATATGTGGCTTTGAGAAAAATGTACCGCGTTGGGAAAAAATTGTTCCCGGTTATTGACTTTTCGGGTGATTTTTTCCTGTTTCATGTGTAGAAACGAATGACAGGCCATGGTATAGGCATACGATCGAGACCTACCGCTATATAGCGACGAAATGATGGAGTTGGTGCCAGCTCACGGAGGCGGGCCACCCTGTCGTCACTGTACCGCGGCGCTCTTACTAAGTAGTTTATAGCAGGGAAAGTGGAAATTTTCTGCAGTTGCGGACCGCTTCTCCTTGTGCAACGAAGAGCTCCAGCACGCCCGATAATCGAGGACGTTGTCTTCAATCTTCTGCAAACCCACTCTTATCGCTCCACTTGATGCCTTCTCGAGGACGACTGAGCGAAAGCGCCGTCTCCTTCGGGCGATTTTCCGGATCAGGAATACCACAACGGCACAGATGACGATTGATGTGAGTGCCTTCAAGGCATATTCGTGTATTATGACGTGATTCCATTGAAATGCGAGCGAAACGGGCCACCTACAAACAGCTCGTGTAGATGAAACGCTCTTGTATCTTTCAGTTCCGATGGCGAAAGTTGAATGCTTACCGATTCTGGCATTTGTAGTGTTGCAATACGTTCGACAATCAAGCTGGCGATCCACTTTGCTAAGATAGGCAGAACGAATCTAAATGTAAGTGAAAATGGATATGTACCAAGAGAATCGTTACATATGACACGCTGATGGGCGTGGCGAGCGACGCCGCGAACGGCAGACGAGTTGTCCTGCTTGCCTTTTTGGACTTCAATGGGAGGGAAAATTTGAAATTATTCAAGCGTCATAGAGTCTGCCCTCCACTTCAATTTAATTGAGTTTCGCTGCTCTAGCCGACAAACTGGTGCACATCGAGATTCTGTCGCGCATGGCCGAACGATATTCCGTACCCGACGACGCAACAAATTACGATTGCATTGTCCGCTCTTAGTGGGAGTGGGACGGACAACTCGTCCATTTTTGCCGCACAACTCACCACAGCGAACACGCCAGGGGCATAGACTGCCGGATGTGGTTGTCCAACAAGCCACAGAAGTGCCGCATCGGCTACGACTAACTCGTGTGCCACACGAAGCTCACAGCTGAAAATGTGCGCACTTGAAGATTAGTATTCAGAGCACATGGTGAGGTGCTGGTACCCCCCCCGCGCCCCTCACGACGGCAGTTTTTTTTGTGTTGAAAAGGTGAAGGAATCTTGGAAAAAACTGCTCCGGAAAAGTGGTAGAGTGCTGAGGCAAATTGAGGAAGATGGTAATAAGTAGGATAGGAGATTGGAGATGGGGAAGAATGGGGAAGGAAGTCGTACAG